TTCATCCCTCAAAACTCCATTCAGGGCTAGAACCATTTTTTTTTCCTTTCTGCAAAAATCATAATTTAAATGTCCTACCCCACACTAAAGAAAGGTCAGTTAATCATTTAAAATACATTTACACTGCAAGCTTCAATGTAATATATAAAAACAAACAAACAAACAAGCAAACAAAACCACCTAACTAGTAAGAAAATTTAGAGCAGAATCCCTAACACAGCAATCCGGAACTCAATTAATTCACCCTTACAAGTTTTAACCTGACTTGCAGAAGTTTCTTCCATGCTGCTATATGTGAAAGACACACTCTGTTGAACAACAAAGAGATCTGTGGCTTTCCCTGCCAGAGCAGCTGAAAGCAAAGGAGCACCCAAACCTTCAGAAACATTAGAGAAGAATTCATGCCTTAGTCACTGTAGTTCTGGGCCATGGAAAGCTTTACTCTTTCCAGTCTTCCTTTGTTCCCACTCTGAATCCTAATTTTAATCCCCAAAAGTTTGGGACACCATTAAAAGATCAGTGTTTAATGAGCACAATCCATCATCTGCATGTCAACTACAGCTGTAATGCTACTGAGATCTACCTAGTAATAATGGATTTTTGAGACAATCAATAGCTTGTATACATACATTTCAGGTTGCAAGAGCAGGGTATCTGAGAAAGGATAGCTGAAAAAAATTGCCTGCTGCATGTGTCAACTGACAGGAGGGAGAATTTGAAAACATTATGAAGTAATAATCCAATTACAGCACACACATTTAACAGCACACAGGTTAGCATTTCTCAAATTGAAGTAAATATCACTCAGAAATTCTCAGGGTAAAATAAACTATCTTATATTTTTAAAAGTTTACAGGACAGCATGCAATTGCAGCTATAGCTGCATCCTGGAAAATAAAGGCTTCAATCTACAAAAGAAATAAGCTGCTTCTCCAAACTGGAACCATTTTAACAGCCTGCAAAGTGCACCAGCCTTCAGATGCTTTCTGCCAGGTTTCTAGAGACATGCTAGAGGCAATTCCCATTGTGTGGACAAGACAGCACCAGGGTTAGCTCCCTTTACCACACACCACTCTTCAACAGTATCTCAACATACTTTGTACCCCCAAATCTTCAACCAGTGGTTCAGGGTCTGTGGTTCAACACCCACCTTCATGCCAGGTAGCTGCATGATCTTAGTTCTCTTTTACTGAGAAAAATATATATAAAGGTGTGAAAAAGTAGGTAAGGTGAGGCTGCATGAGATAAAAACAAAGCTGCCTAAGTTTTCAGATAGGAGCAGTGAGCAGCTAAAGAATACAAGAGGAAAAATACATATACAAAAATGTATAGAGCTATAAGAAAAAAAAAAAAAAAGGAGAAAAAAAAAAAAAAGTAGAGCCTCAGAAGATATAAATTCAGGAACACCAGAGGATCAGCTCGTTCTAAGAAGCAAAGGAGACTGACCCATCACCACCTGATTGACAACCGCCTGGCTGGTAAAGCCCCATCAGGCATTTCATCAGGCGATGATGAGCATATTAATGCTTAGTCTAGTAGCTCATTAGTCATAGTTAGTGACTGTGTGCATTCATAAATACAAAAATAGCTTTGTATTCAGCTCCTCACAGAAACTGCTTTATGCTAAAAGTTGCCCAAACTGTTGTTGCCCAGAGACAGAAGTTAGTTGCCTACACACACATCTATGCACAGATGTAGTGTCTCAGTTTCATGCCATGAAAACATCACCTTGGACTGAAATGATCACACACATGTATATACAAATACTGTATACTTTAATAATATACAAATACTTGGGCTAGAGAACCTGCAGTTATTTTGACATCATTGATCTAGCCACAAGAAAACAGTCCTTGAGTCCATTTTATTTAGTAGTAGAGTGCAGTTATACTGACCATCTGCTGCTTGCCTGGAAGTATATATGAAACTAGCTAATAATTTCACTTCCATTCTTAAAGTAAGGTTGATGAGCATCAAGAATGAATTTTCTCAGGTCTACTGAAGGTTCAGTTTGGTTGAGTTTGTGACCTCAGGAAAGGGTAAAAGCAAATCCGCTTCTGTGTAGGTTGCATATTTGCAAATACATAATTTAATGTTTCATAAATAAGGAGACCTTACAGGATGATTCTTGGGGTATATGACTTTATGGGCAATAAAAGAGAAGATTAACTTCAAACCCCTCTAAAATTCTTCTTTAAGCCATTATACATCTGCCTTCACCCCATGGAGCAACACTCCATTTTTACTTTCGTTACTTAAGGATGCATACTATGTAAGGACATGTTTTTCCAGGTGCCATTACCTCAGAAAGCGTATGAAATAAGTTGCAATTTACAGTAAATTACTACACTGATTGTTTACACATCAAAACCCTTATACATTCCAATAAATACAAAATGAAATAGGAGCTCTCTAAATCAGCTAAATCTCTGTCCCACATTAATATAACTCTATAATCGCCTCCAAAAACTTACATATTTCTGTGCTATTTATTGTGTGTGTATGAGTGCACAAATATGTGTATGCAAGGAGCTTCAGAGACTCTGAGTCTCACCACAACATAGCACAAAGAACTTTTACATATGAGATTGATGTCGAACAATTCTTGACTAGAAGTATGTGCTGGTAACATATATTATAATAGTACTTGAAGACCTGTGGCTATGATTACATTTGTGGTAGAGGTTGAGGAATAAGATCACATAAACAAAAGAGTAATTCTCATAAGTGCAACTAATTAATATTTTATTAATAATAATGTGTGCATACTGCTGTAATATTGAACGCTAGTTTGATAGTATGCTATCAGCAAAGGCTTCTAAAACTCTGGCTGTGAGTATAGCCACACCGGTAAGAGCCACTGCGCAACAAGCCAAAAGGAGAAAGTAAAGTTTATTGCACAGAGCACTAAAAGGAATATAAAGAGTTCAATATCAACCACTCAAAATTTTGGCATGCCAAAATGAAGTTTTGAAAGAAATTCAGTGGCAAGGTTACCCAATACTGTAACAAGCCTCTTACATGACCTTTCATGCTGTTGTTACAATCTGAATTTCAAAGGCTGAGTAGCTGCGAACTGCTAACCTCAGGCCAGAATGTAGACCAAGACTCATTACATTCCAGCTATTTTGAAAAACTCAGGCCTCCTTGTTTTGCAATTATTTATTTAATTGCAATAAATATTTATTTAATAGCAACAACTGTTTTTTTTTGTTTGTTTTTGTTTGTTTATTTTTGTTTGTTTGTTTTTCAAGTATATTGCAATTTGCTACAGACAGAAAACAAAACAAAAAAAAAAAACTCTTTGTAAACATAGGTAGAAACCAAACAACTTCTGTCTTGTGATTTTAATCCTGAAAAGATGTTTGTATTAAAAAAAAAAGGTATTTCCAAAACAGAAGTTCAAGTGCCATCATATAACTGAATATGCTTTTGGTTTCTATGCATCATTTTTACTTCACTATTTTTTTAAAGGCTCCTTAAAAAAAATAAAAAATAAAAAATCAACCAACATACAAAATATACAAAGCCAGACAGCACAGAAGGAAAAGTGCAGCATTCTAAATCTGCATATGGATTAGCGGCTAGAAAAGGAAGTTAATGCATTTTTCACAGAGAATCTGTAAATCCTGGGACCTGACAGAATAGGAATAACTATCTAATCTGTCATCCCTGCTTAACTGATAACTTTATGACAAACAGGTTAGTCAAGCAGCAGGTGACAGAGAATGCCAAATCAAGAGCAAAGAACACACCAACTTCTGAAAAGACAATTTGGACGTGGAAGGTAGTACATACTCACGCTGTGGAACTTGATGCTACTTTCACCTGTTTGCAACTTCTCCAAAGTTAGACCACCCATACCATTTATAGACATGAACAAAACAGAAATTGTTTCACTTTTTTGATAGGTAGGTATTCTTTTCACAAAAATATCAAGACAATATCTCTCCTTCTGACAAAGAAAACATGTATACTTCTACCTTCATATGGTTTAAAGAAGCAGCATCAAATACAAACAAACAAAGCCATAAACCAAACAAATATCTCAAATTATTATGGACTGTCTCCTTAGTAAATCAAGGTGATTCCACTTGTACTTTTCTTCAGCTTTACCATACGATTCAAAATGGAGACAGACCTAAGTTAAAAATTCAGAACAATGGAGTTGGGGGTGAAACAAAAGTGGTACCAGTTAATTCCAGATCAGCTGTTTGAAAAAAACAATTGAGAAGCTTATGATTTAACACTATGCTTATGACTTTAAATACATAGAAAGATTTTATATAGTCTTGCTTTTGAAAGAAACTATGCTTCTTTTCTGCTCTGTCTTGGTAAGATCAAGAGCATCATTTTCAACCCTGTGAAAGTGAAAGGAGCATCTGGTATCCACTACTAGCTGAAGTATTGCATTTCTGGTTTCACACTTATGTGTATTTGTAAAGTTAGAGAAGAAAAAACTATAGTCGTGTTTAAATGAGCCCTTACTTAACTGACTGTGCTCCTGCAGTTATCTCATTCTCCCAAAAAATTCATCAACTCTGGACACTATTATCATTTAACATCTCTTCTGGAACATGCACACATCCCAAAATAACAGTTTTGCCACACACTTTCATTATATGCCCACTGACTGACAATTTGCTTACAATCTGCTCTTCCCATCTGAATCTTGTTAAGTTCGAACTTTTTAGGGACAGTGAAAGATGGTTTTACTTTCCCGAGTCCAATACAGAATGAATAATTTATCAAAAGGCTATTCTTAAAACCCACGAGAGTCACTATGAAGGTTAGACAGAACATTTCACATACGTACAGTGGGTGGCTTTTTTTGTTCCAACACTTTCAGTTCCCTAGATATAACACAAGCTGGATCAAATACCTCTTTTCAGTTAATATGCTCCACTTCACATTAGATGCTATACTCTCAAACCAAAATTGGCGTTGTCGATTTTTCTGTTTCATTAAACACATCCTAACATAAAGTCTCTGCCTCCTAGGTTCCATATCTCACATGTGTAGACTGCAGACCACACCACTGTGTGAAGCCTTGTCAAGAGCCTGACAGGTAAATCAAGTATCAAAGAGTAAAACAAAGACTGTCTACTTTTCAGCTGAAAATCTCAGAGCAGACGTGGTAGGCTTTATTCTCCACATTTACAAAAACTGATTCTGACAGTTACTAATCTTTCCTACAGTTCAAAGAAGCAAGTTCTACATTGCTCACCCAGAGTGAGCAATAGCATGTGCAAAAGGAACAGTTTTGCACCCCATAGTATTTTATTGTATACCCATTACAAAACCACCCACACTGTGGGTAAAGGTCTTGCTGTTCCTCCCAAAGAACTCTTATCAGACACATGCTGGACATGAAGATTGATGAAACAAGTATCTTAATACACTTCTAGTCAGTCTCCATAATGATTCCATTTCCTCCAAGTTTTTAGAAAAGTTGACTGGAAAAAAAAATAATTCAGTAACAACTTTCTCATGAATTAGATCTCTGAGTTGAGCTAGGGTTAAATGGCAAACTGATTTTCAGCTAACTGCTCCTCCTGTAGTTCTCTCTTCTGAGTGCATGGCTGCAAATCTGCTTGCTCATACTGCTGTTTCCTAGACCGGAGTGACTATTAAATTTTGTAATTAGTGGAATGTAATTATTTCCTGTAATGGGCTGTAAATTCACATTATGCCATAAATCATTCTTATGTACACTTAAGGATTCATTACTCTTCTTAGCAACTGACTAGCATATTTACTAAGCACAAAAATGTTCAACTGGAGTACTCAGTAGGTTACTGGGAGAGCATTAGTTGCTCCCAAATGAAATCTCTTTGGTGTAGGAAAGTGGTTAGCGGCAGGAAAAGTGTGTTTCTACAGCAGTGGTTAGAAATGAGACTTGAGAACACGATTCAGCAAGGTACTAAAAAAAAGATTTGCATATCAGTTCCATTGGGATCATTTATTGTCCTCATTAAAGCTCTTAAATGCTTTCTTAACTCATCTTCTGAAATAAGAGTCAAGGAGGGAGAACTGCTGTTATGACTATGGAAAATACGCCAGTGAGGATAGCAGTTTTCTCCACAGTGACAGAAAAACAAAACCCACAAATCTGCTAGAACCTTGGCAGAACTTGCAAGCCCAGTCAGACCTTTCCAGACCACAGTATTGGGTTTACATGGCAAGGTTTTGGTAGCAGGGGTGGCCTCTATGAGAAGGATCCAGAAACTGCCCCATGTTAGATAAGGGGCAGCCCATGGGTCCCACATGGAGCAGATCTCCACGCTGCAGACCATGGAGGAGCCCCTGGTGGAGCAGGTGGATGTAGCCTGGAGGAGGCTGCAGCCCATGGAGAGCCACCACAAGAGCATGGAGTCTGGGGGGAGCTGCCACCCACCCGTGGGGGACCCGTGTTGTAGCAGTTTGCTCCTGCGGGATGGACCCCATGGTACAGAGCCGTGTGGGAGCAGTGCTTGAAGACCTGCTGCCTGTGGACAGCCCCTGCAGACTCAGTTCAGGAAGGATGTCATCCCGTGGGACGGACCCCACGTGAAGCAGGGGCAGAGAGTGACCCTGAAGGAGTGGTGGAGACAAAGCATCAGGGATTGACTGCAGCCCCTGTTCCCTGCTCCCCTGCACCACACGGGGGGAGGTGAAAGAGCGTGGATGGGTAGGAAGGTGTTTTTGGTTTGCTTTAAGTTTCTCCCTGCTCTAGTTTGTTAGTAGTAGGTAATTAATTACATTGATCTCCTTAAGCTGGGTCTGTTTTGCCCGTAATGATAATTGGTAGATGATCTCCCTGTCCTTATCTCAATCCTCAAGCCCTTTCCATCATATTTTCTCCCCCTTTCCCTTTGAGAAGGAGGAGTGAGTGAGTGGTTGTGGCAAAGCTCAGCTACCCATCTGGGTAAAACCACCACAACCACACACTCTAGACACAAGCTTGCCTGGCAAGCCATATAGAGGCAGCCATATAGAGGAGCAGAGGTGCCAAGGCTTGTGTACAGGCTAACCTCATTATGGCTCCTGTGCTACAGCTGTAGCTCACCTCCTGGAAGCTCAGGAGACAAACCTTGCATGTACTTTCCCTCCTACAATTTTACACTTTGGGAGGCAAATATACTGAAGAGGCTTGTGGTTGTCTGGGAGGAGACACATGGCTACTCCCAGGTTCCCAAAGGAGCCCCTGTGGCAGTGGGACCTCATGCCAGTAAGTGGCTGCTGTTCAGTACTACAGTCACAATGAAAGGCAGCTGTGCTAGGAAGTAAATTTTATTATACTATTACGTTGAGCTCAAGACTCTACATTAATATGGTCTTTAAGCGTGGTCTTGCTTAGTAATACCCTATTTGTCACCTCTTGGCACATTAATGGAAGCAGAAACTCAACATATCTTACACTGCCATCAAGAAAGGAGAGTGCAGAAAAAGGGAATTTTTCCAATAGAAAAATGAATAAATAGTAAGGATCTAAGATATAATTTGTGTTATCAGGCATTTCAGACTCTTGCTTATACTGTTGTATTGTTCTTATGGCACATGCATACATGGGTCTGTGCCATCCTATAATATGTTCAGGAAGGGTAAATCAGACCTGAGATACTTGACTTCATAGAAAAATAGATTTAAGTATTATAGAGGGAGACTAAGCAGCCTCCACAAGGTGGAAGATTTTGGTAAAATTTTGTCTAGTATTTTTCCAGTTTTTGTTGCAGCCTTCTCCCTTCCCCAAATTAGACTTTATCCTACCTCTCTCCTCTTTTTACTTATCATCAATGATGGAAGTAAAAATTTGGGCAATAGCAAAACTGGATCAGCTCCTGACATCTTTTCTCTGACAACTCTGCAACCTGTTCCGGACAGACTGGCTGCGGGACCCATGCCAACACTCAAAGAAAGGTCAGGACTTATTTGTAGAGTTGCTCATTACCATGTTAGATGCTTCTCTTCCTTTCTGTGCTCCTGATCCAGCACTACTGGCAGAGACAGAAAGCATCTCTGTCATACTTACGAGATGTGTAAGATACCTGACCCTAATTGGGAAAAAAAAAAAAAAAAAAAAAAAAAAAGGATGTAGTTAAATCTGGAAAAAGAAATCTCCATCTGCACCCAGACCGTTTATGGTTAATATTGTCCTGAAACATGCAGGATGCAAAAATATCCCAATGCCCTTCAAACCCAACACAGAGTGTTAATGATTGCATTAATTGGGAAAAAAATAACAGATAATCCAACAGATAGTAGCAATGAACTAAATGCCAATAAAGAGAATCCTGAGAATAAGCTTAACAGATTTGCTGGAGAAGCAACTGCAGCACAGACCTTGAAGGCATTAGTTTGTGGCCAGCAAAGATCGGTTATCTGCTTGTCTGACTCTGATCCTTTGCATGTGATTAACAAAAGCGAAGGGAAGCATCTCTGGGGACCTGTCACACTGAAAGACAGATAGGTGCTTTAAGACACATTCTTTGTTTATTCTGTGACTAAACCTCAAATTCTACTTCTGTCCGTGAATTTACCCTGTCCCCACTGGGCACTGTCAGATCCGATCAGCCTTGTTCCCTTACCTTGCAGAAAATCCTGTCCAAACATGCACAAGCCTTTTTGCTCCCCTGGGGCTTCGCTGGTGCAACTGAAAAACCTAGCATGGCTGTTTCAACTAAACACATGGTGAACATGTCTGTGTTAGACCTAGGCAAAACCTAATCCAATTAAACCATCCCTGATTGTAATGCTTTTCTAATGTGTGATGCCTGGGAACAGAAACACACACTTTATGCTTTAGAGAAGGTCATCATGATTTGCTGAACTCTTTTGCAGAAACCAGTCACTGAAAAGACTGTTTTTCTGGGTCTTGTTTCTTTTCTTAACATTTGATTTTCAACAGTAGTTTGATAATGGTGCGTGGCTGTTGAGTACAGAGCTAGAGAGTTTCATGCTCATCAAGTACAGACTTTTGCATCAGTGTATAATGAGGGACGTATGTTAAAAGGCACAGCAACATTCTGGCAAGACTCTTCAAGAATAGCCTCAACCTGATTTTAAAGACAAGACACCATGTAGAGTTTTTCACTCTCCAGTTTTTACTCTCTGATGCCTCTTCCAGCTACAGATGTCTCTGGGTTAAGAGCTTTCCCTTCAGCCCCTTTTTAGAGCACAAGAAGGATTCAGCAAGGACCCTACAACCTTCACAATCTGTTTTTTTTTGACAAGTAGCAGGGAAGTCTGTTCACTGTCTGCATGCAGTGAAGAGGAAATCTGGAACAGAGCTGGAAAGCTGCAAATACCTTCCTATTTCTTAACATTTGCTGGTGTTCAACAAAGGGCAAAGACCTTAAATACAACATAAACAAAAATGTGTTGTTTTTATTTCATTAACTGAATGGGTAGTATTTCAACCTAAAAATGAAAAGCAGATTTTATGTATCACTTCCTCTGCCCACTTTATAACTCTGTAAAATACCATTAAATATACAGTACTTCTGAGACTTGTATGTTCAATAAAAGGGTCAATAATGAGCTGTTACTGTAACAAACTGTTTCCCTTAATTGCGTACCTGCTTATCAAGCAAAGCTTTCTCAAGGACTTCTATTTCTATAAAATGTTTTCTAACAGAGTTTAAAGTTATAAAATATTGATAATTATTTCTGATTTTGAGATGAATGGACCAATACTTCTGTTCTTCATTTTGTTTGTCCTTCCTTACTTTTCCTGACTATTGCCTAACTTTGAAAAACTTTTAGTCAATTCCAACAATTCTTTATCCCACGTTAAAGCTTTTGAAACACCAAAAGCCACATCAGGAAAGGAGCAGTAACAAACAACTGTTTGCCTGACCCTGTTGTGGTCTGATCCTTGCTTTTAAAGAGAATTTTTGCCCAGAGCAGAACTGTGGCAAAGTGTTCATAGTCCTTCTGAAAATGCTGGTCTCCAGGGTTATGGAACTGCTCATGAACATCCTAATACCAAAGCCACTTCAATTTCAGTAGCTTTCAGTTACATCAACTTTTTTTTTTTTTTTTCCTTCCTTCCTCCCACAGAATCTTTAAAGTTAGAAGAACTAATTT